AACATAATTTTACTGGTGGTCCTTGGAACTGGTACATACTTCATGCACTTCAAACGAAAGGTACCTGCTCAGAACAGGGATGGCTTGCTGCAACTGTGTGTACCAGGTAACACATTGAATAACACATTGCTCACAGATAAGTGTAAACGGTATTAGCTAATGAAGTGTTGAAAAATGCGCGGCAAGTAATACCACTTACTTTGCAGGGTGCACTTGGCAATAAGGAGCAGCATCCGTAGTGTCCCGTCGGAAGCACCACGCATATTTACCGCACAGGCGCGCTTACGCGGCGTACCATGTTTTATAAATGACACCTCACCGTAATATCGCGTAGTATGCTTACCTTCAATGGCTCTTCCGTTACAAGCTGCTGTCCGTTTGCAAAAACAGTTATTATTTGTCTCACAGAAAACATGCGAAGCTTCCATCCTCTGAATACTCTCCACAGGATTGGTGGAACCAATCTACAAAACCATCACAAACAACCCATTGAACAGCACCAGTGTCCGAAGCATTATCCTTCTCCCAAGGACCACGCCACAAACGTCCAGTTCTGGATGTTAGACAGAGGGATTCTGACGCATTCGCTTGTTAACGTAATGGCGATAAGTTACCGACGTCGTGGTGCTTAGGTGAGGCGATCTCATTAGACACATCTCATCATGCATCAGCCAGCGAAAATTATGGGTTCATCCTGACTGCGAATAACAGAACCAATAGTCGGTCAATAAGAAGCAATACCAGTTGCAGCTTGTCGTTTGAATGCATCGATGGCAGTGTTCCAGGACGTGGTGGGTTTTCCTTTGGCAAATATTCTACCAATAAAAACCACAAAAGTCCGTTTAACAACATTGCGAAGTGGCGGAGGTGACTCGCCACTGAATAGGTCACAGGCAATAAGTCCACAATGACAAGCTGAGCATGACCATATACTACCATGCAAGATACGCCCCGACACTTTCTAATCTGCACATAACTCGCCACGTCTTTTTCTGTGCATTTACCTTTTTTATTTACGCTACACTCACATAAACCCAGCGTATCGTGTAATCGCGATTGAGCGTGTACGTCACAGCTCTTTTCTAATTGATCAGTGCTAGTTCTTGATCTATGCCTGCCTGAATTTTACTGCACTTTATGACAGACCAAATGTGCCCACACGAACGTGCCCGAAATCATGGCAATGGGCGTTCTTCTTTTATGATTCTGTCCTTTTTGTACAGTTTCAAAAGGGAACGTCTGAACAATCTCCGATTGTGACTGTTACAATTGCCATGACATGTCTTGATAATTGCAGTTATTTGCTTACGCGCTTGCGGGCATGCCTCGAATAGCCGAGAATAAATGTTTATTTATTTAATATGTTCCCCGGCAGCAAATGTAGCTAAGGTACGGGCATTCTATGCCACAGTAGACTTACACAGACTGCTCTTTCCGCGAAACCATT